ATATTAGATACTTGAGTGGTTCCGTTGTTCTTCCTTGGAGACCGCACTTCCAGAACATTTTGGCTTTGTTTGATTTAAACTGTGGTTGATTGCTAGAGTGATAGTACAACAGGTAAGGTGCTTGCCTTGCATGTAGCTGACCCAGATTCAATCCCCCGCACACCCCAGATGGTCTCCCAAGCCCCACCAGGAGTGACCCCTGAGCACAGAGCCAAGAGTAAGTCCTGAGCACTCCAGATGTGGCCAAAAACAAAACAGCCACAGCAAAACTGTGTTTGCTTACTGCAGGTCTCGCTCCCTCCCCCGACGTTTGTCCTCTGCTCACCCCTCCTTGCGTTCCTTACTGACTCTTTTCCGGATACCATATTTTCTTTGATTTATGTTCTCTTTTAGAATTCTATCCCGAAATTTCACCTAACAGTTGTTGAAGAAGGGGCTGGAGTGATAGCACAGTGGGTAGGGCGTTTGCCTTGCACATGGCCAACCCGGGTTCGATTCCCAGCATCCCATATGGTCCCCTGAGCACCGCCAGGAGTAATTCCTGAGTGCAGAGCCAGGAATAACCCCTGTGTGCATTGCTGGTGTGACCCAAAAAGCAAAAAGAAAAAAAAAAAGAGTTGTTGAAGAAGTGCCAGAGAGCCAATTTAGGGGGCCGAGTCCAAGCTTTGTATGCAGGAGATCTGGGTTTCACATCCCCAGTGCCACATGGCTCCCTGAGCATCGCTGGGTGACCCCAAACAAACAACTAAAAATCACTTTTCAGACGATGCTTTTCTAATACTTATGGTGCTACTAAACAGTCACGTGTTATCCTTAGTCCTACGCCACTGTTTTTGCTGTGCACTGCTGGGACAGCACCCAGGGTCTCACACACGTCTCTCCACCGCTGAGCTGCGTACCCCAACCCTTCTTCAGGAGTGCTCTCTTTTCTTCTTTCTACATTTTAGTTTTTTTATTTGATTTTTGATTTGAGGGCCATACTTGGCAGTGCTCAGGAATTAGTCCTGGCTTTGCACTCGGGAATTGTTCCTGGCCTTGCTTGGCAGGACCATAGGGGATGCCAGGGATTGAACCCCGGTCACCCACATGCAAGGCAAGTGCCCTTCCCTCTACTACTGCTCTGATCCCTTTTGGACATTTTTAATTAAATTTCTTCATCTTTTCATTTTAAAATGTCTCCATGATATGCCTTGGTGTGGGTTCCTTTTTATTTTTTGGGGTACTTGATAATTTTGTTTTACTCTGCAGACATACGTTCTTTAGTTCTAATACTTCTCTTTTTCTTCATTTTTTTCACCCCCTTTGATTGATGTCAGTTATCTTTCTGGAATATTCTCAGTCTGGTGGGATCTCTTAAAGCAGGTATTGACATTCATTTTCTTAGAGGGCAGTATAGTATATCAAGTTTTGGGACGTAGAATCATCACTCCCAGTGTCCGACTCTGCCTTGGTGTTGTGAACACAAACATAGCCTGTCCTAAACGGATGCACTTGGCTGTGTTCTAATAAAACTTTTTATAGAAGTTGGCGGCCAGGCTGTAGGCCATTGTTTGCTGCTTGATCCCTGACCTAGGATGCTTTTGTTTTCTTACCTTTACTTGTATTTTTCATCATTTTTTGTGTCATATTCTGGGAAGTATCTTCAACTTTTTCTTTATTAACTTTTTAAATTAAATTTTTATGTGGGGATTTTGGTTCATACCAAGAGTGGTATTCACAAATTAACTCCTTCCTGGTTCCTTGCTCAGGAGTTACTTCTGGCAGTGATGGGGGCCACATGTGGGGGCCAGATAGATAGTACAGATTCAGTCCCCAGCACCCAGTATGATCCCCTGAGCCCGATCAGAATTGAGCCCTGAGTGCAGAGCTAGGAGTAAGCTCTGAGCACCACTGGCTTGTGGGCCCAAAACCAAAAAAGAATTCGTGGCCAACTCAGGTTTGATCCTCAGCACCTAATGTCGTCCCTTGAGCCCACCTGGAGTGATCCCTGAATTCAGGTCCAGGAATAAGCCCTGAGCACAGCTGACTTTACCTCTGCCCCCACCCCTCCAAATGAACTTGGGTTGGCAGCCTGCAAGGCAAGTGCCTTATCCTCTAGATTCTCTCCTTAACCTTTATTAAAATTTTGTAGGGTTGGAGCGATAGCACAGCGGGTAGGGTGTTTGCCTTGCGTGCAGGTGCAGTTCCTCCGCCCCTCTCGGAGAGCCCGGCAAGCTACCGAGAGTATCTCGCCCACATGGCAAAGCCTGGCAAGCTCCCCGTGATGTATTCGATGTGCCAAACACAGTAACAATGAAGTCTCACAATGAAGACTTTACTGGTCCGGCTCGAGAAAATCGATGAACAATCGAAGGACAGTGACAGTGACAGTGACCATGGACTTAAATTTTCATTTTACTGACTTTTAATTTTACCTATTTTTCACCGATTTAACATTACATTATAACATGTAAACTAAAGATGTGTGTCATTGAAAATCAGCATGTGAGAGACAGCTGAGGTAACCAGTGATCAGGCTTGTGCCCTAAGTTGGGCCGTACTGCCCTCCTGTGGTGCTTGGGATGATTCTGGTGGCATGACAGGGGTGCCCATCTCTGAACCACCCCAGCTGTGTGTGCACAAGCTCTGCAGATAAAGCGTGTGAGCACCGGAGCTGTAGCACAGCGGGGAGGGCACTTGCCTTGCATGCAGCTGACCAGTGTTCCATTCCCGGCATCCCTGTATGGTCCCCCAAGCACCACCAGGAGTAACCCCTTAGCATCTCCGGATGTGACCCAAAAAGCCAAAAAATACAAACCAAACCCAACCTGTGTGACCCCTCGTGAGCACCACAGCCAAGGGCACGGAGTGGCTGGGGCACACTGTCACCACAGCAACACATGGAAGATCCTGATGGCAGGTGTACTGTCTCAAGTTTGCCGCGTTAAAACAAGCTTTGCTCAGGGCTTATTCCTGGCTCTGTGCTCATGGATCACTGCCCGCCAGGCTTGGGGACGATGCCGTGCCAGGATTGAACCATGGTTGGCTCCCTTTAAATCAAGTGCCCTGCCACTGCACTGTCACTCTGACCCCCTAATTAACTTCTTTTTGTTGTTGTTGTTGTTTGGGTCACACTCAGCGATGCACAGGGGTTACTCCTGGCTCTGCACTCAGAAATTACTCCTGGCGGTGCTCAGGGGACCATATGGGATGCTGGGAATTGAACCCAGGTTGGCAGTGCAAGACAAACGCCCTACCTGCTGTACTATCGCTCCAGCCCCCTAATTAACTGTTTTACATGTCTACTCCACCCCCCTTATAACCACAAATTGGCCTCTCAGTCTGAAAGTTTCTTTTTGTTTTAGTTTATCTGGTAATTTTCTTTCTCTGCTTATCACATGAATGGGATCATAGTGTTTGTTTTTCTCTGGAAGAGCTTTTCTTCTCTGCTCCATTTTCATGGTATCCTATTCTTATTTCACATACACAATAACTTTTTCTATGTTAAATATGATATGTTAGAAGTAGTTTTATTGACTCCCTTTTGTTCTTTTTTTCTCCAAGTGTATTTGAGTTGGTTTCTTAGGGTACTTGTATCTGGAGATCTTGGTTGTCATCTCACGCCAGTTGTGTTGAAAGTTGCTTGGAAGCATGGTGTTTGCTTGAGGGAGCTTTCGGAGGCGTGGTAAGGGGCTTTGGGCCACACTTGGCAGCTCTCAGGGCTTATTCCTGGCTCTGCCCTCAAAGACCAATTCTGGCGGGCTCAGGGGACCGTCTGAGGTGCCAGGGTTTGAACCAGGTCAGCCGAATACAAGGCAAATGCCCTATCCCCTGTATTATCACGCCTGCCCTACACGAATGAGCTTTAAATTAAAACAGTCAATTCGCCTCATTGTTTGTGCGCAACAAATGACAGAATTTTTTTCTGGAGGATTGATAACTTTTTCCAGAGAAGAATTCTCCCTTTGTTGCCTGGTAAGTTCCAGGCTTGGTCTGCATGAAAAACTAGGATCAGACGGGGAGACCAGGGCAGGAGTTTCCACTGCCATTCAGATTTTCATTTATTCCTCTCATTTTCAGCTCTTTGCTTCATCTTGAAGCTCTGTGCTGAGGGGTGAAGGCTCTCTGTAGATATTTCCCTGGGATTTTAGCTTTCTGCAGGAACCAAATCATCCAGAATCCTTTATCTGCCTTCCCTCTGCCAAAGTGGGTTGAAATCCTTTTGTCTGTTAATGTCTGTCACTTTGCAGATTTGTACTTGATTAGTTCCTTTATTGTTATTTTTGTGAGGCTACTGGGTGAAGTAGAGCAAAATGTGTGTGGTCCGCATGCCATTTTAATCTGGAAGTCAGGAAATTTACGTAGGGGCTGGAGATGTCACTGGGGTAGAGCATGTCTTGCCTGTTTGAGGCCTGGCTGATCCCCGGAAGTGCATGACCCTCGGAGCACCAACAGGGTGCCAGCACCCTGACACTGAGAGAGGCCCAAGCCCCTGAGCAGTGCTGGGTCTGGCTCTCACTACTGGGGCAGCAAAGTAAAGCCATTCGTTTTGAATGTTTTTCAGAAAATAAGTAGTAAATTCTGTTCTCACGTAGATTTTTTAATGTTTCACTCCAGGGGCTGGAGAGCTAGTAAAGTGGGTAGGGCATTTGTTTGCCTTGCTCTTGGCCAATCCTGGTGAGATCCCCGGCACCCCATATGGTCCCCCAAGCCTGCCAGCAGTGATCCCTGAGTACAGAACCAGAAGTAAGCTCTGAGCACTGTTGCTTGTTGTCCAAAAACAAAAATGAAAACAGAAAAAACAGTATGGTCCCATTTTCCTCTTCTTTTTCTCTTTTGAATGGAAATGCCTTTGTTTTCATAGCATTAATGTCATTAAGTAGACCAAATAATGAATAGTTCTCGTTCCTTTATCCCCAACAGATGTTGCCACGCACGTTTGCGCGGCCAGACTCCGTGCATACACACGCGCGTGTGCAGTTCTTTTCCTGTACTTCAGCCGACCTGTTCTTTTTCTGCAGGTCTCCAGGAAACCTCGAGAAGAACCGCTACGGGGACGTGCCCTGTCTGGACCAGACTAGAGTGAAGCTGGCAAAACGCAGCAGCCAAACACAGGTAGAGACACACGCGCCACCTCCTCAGGAGTCTGAGGAGCTGCCTGGCCCCTCAGAGTGACGCTCGCTGGAGCTGCAGTAGGAGGAATGTATGTGGACTTTATGTCAGGGAGATAAGGGTTTAGTTTTGCTACATCACGGTCTTTTACTTAGTACTCACAGCACCAGGGGAAAATTAAATTAAGGACTTCAGGAAAGTGTTTATTTATCCCTTAGTTGTAAAATTTGGTCACATCATTCTCCCCACTAGTGGGTATATGTTTAATACAAAGCAACTCTGATTATAAGTAAAGTAAAGTAAAGTAAAGGCCCTCCCGTTGATCATCGATTTGCTCGAGCGGGCCCAGTAACGTCTCCATTGGAGACTTTGTTGTTACTGTGTCTGGCATATCGAATACTCTCGGTAGCTTGCCGGGCTCTCCGAGGGGGCAGAGGAATCGAACTTGGGTCGGCCATGTTGGCTGCATGCAAGGCAGACGCCCTACCCGCTGTGCTATCGCTCCAGCCCCAAAGTAAAGGCCCTCCCGTTGATCGTCGATTTGCTCGAGCGGGCCCAGTAACGTCTCCATTGGAGACTTTGTTGTTACTGTGTCTGGCATATCGAATACGTCACGGGGAGCTTGCCAGGCTCCTCCATATAGAAGACCAAGAAAAGTGTTTGGCCAAACTGTGTGTGTGTGTGTGTGTGTGTGTGTGTGTGTGTGTGTGTGTGTGTGTGTGTAAAATCCAAGAGCGGCCAGGGGGAGGCCCCGAAGGCTCTTCCTCTAGCCACCCTCATTCAGGGTGGGCCCCGGACCGCTCCCCCAGCCTGGGTGGCCTGGGTCATGGGGCGGACAGAGGAAATGAGGGCCAAGCTGGTTGGTTAATCAGATACTGTTTATTCCATTCTCGTCACACGCCTGCCCCAGTCCCTTCCTGAGCCTCCCATTCCAGTCTCACTCTGCCCCTCACTCCCGTCTCCTCCTCTCTCTCCCACTCATCTATCAGCGCTCCATCTTGCAGCCTGGGCTCCCTCTTTCTCTCTCCACGTGCTTGCTCCTGTATTCTTTGACATTCTTCTCTTTCTGTCCCCCTTGCTAGCCTCCCCAGGGTCCATCTCACGGCCCTGCTCCTTCCTCTCTCTCCTGCTCTCTTGTCTCTCCCCCCCCCCCCCCCCCCCCCCCAGCACTCTGGGCTGACACTGCACCCAATCAGATAGTCAAATCAACATAAGAAAGCCATTCCTGAGTTCAAAGGGAACACCACCGAAGTGGTATTCCAAAGCCCTCCTGACTGCCTCAGGCAGAATACCAGGCAGAAAAGGTGTTTTTCTCCCTGCCTCAGTCCAATAACTCTTATCAACATCTTAATACTAATTATTTTTGTATGGACACAGTAAGAGATAACATTGAGACTTGTAGGGCAACTCTCCTGGGGACATCTTGCCACAGACTCTGACTACAGCACTCAGGACAGGTTAATCTTTCCTAACCCTAGCAGGGTCCAAATCTAGTTATCACTTTTTGGATCATGACAGCATTCGTCCATGACCAAACTCTTAAAGTTAAGCATTATGGCGCTTTGGCCAGGCCCATCTCAATGCCAGGGCAGCACATAGTTTACCGCTTGCCCCTGGTTCCATCCAGTCCCTCACCAGGACCCTGCTTTGGGGGGCACTAGGAAGTAAGGGCAGCCGAGGCTTAGGTGAGAGAACAGATGCCCAGGAGAAAATGTCACTCAGGGTTCTGTTACAAAAGCAGAGCATATACTGTCTTCTTGTGTCCAGAAAAAAAGGACATTGCTCTGAATAAACTATGCAAAGGACTTAGGGAAAAGAGAAAAACAATATTAACAAGTCAACAGAGCACGAAGAAAGTTACAAATAAACACAGAGGAATGGGAGTACCGTGATGGGAGCAACCCAATAAACCTGAACTACCTGAGGCTATGCAGGAAGGATAAAACAGTGTTATCCTATATATATATATATATATATATATAGAGAGAGAGAGAGAGAGAGAGAGAGAGAGAGAGAGACAAAATGGTCAAGTGGATATCTTCACTGTCACTGTCCTCCTGTTGTTCATCGATTTGCTCGAGCAGGCCCAGTAACCTCTCCACTGTGACAATTGTTACTGTGTTTGGCATATCTAGTACGTCACGGTAGCTTGCCAGGCTTTGCTGTGAGGGCGAGATACTCTTGGTAGCTTGCCGGGCACTCCGAGAGGGGCGGAGGAATCAAACTCAGTTCAGCCATATTGGCCGCTTGCAAGGCAAACGCCCTACTGCTGTGTTATCACTCCAGCCCAAGTGGGTATCTTACATAATTTATTACTCTAATCATGTCTGTACATGCTAAAAGTCATGTGTAACATACTAGTGTGTGTGTGTGTGTATATATATGTATATACACACACATATTCATATTGGCTTTTTGGGTCACACCAAGCAACGGTCAGGCGTTACTCCTGGCTCTGCACTCAGGAATCACTCTTGGTGGTGCTCTGGGGACTATGGGATGTCAGGGATCAAGCCTGGGTGATGCACGTGCAAGGCAAACACCCTCCCCGCTGTACTATCACTCCAGCCCCAGTATAGATATTTATTGAAATACTAACCACACTCTTCGCCCATGACCCGTATCCGTGCCCCTGTCCTTGCTTGGCCTGTTTCATTATCTTGTCTCCCCTCCCCCTCTTCATTCACTGTAGTTGCTCTTGCAGCGACTGGGGGGTCTCACACGCACCTGGCTGTGGTGTTTGCACCCGTTCGCTGTGTTTGCTGCGGAGGTCACATGCCAGGCTGTGCCCACTGAGGCTGACACTCCTATCCTGGTGCTGCCTGCCCAGGTGCTGGCGGAGGGTTGCTCTCAGCTGAGGCCACAGTCTCGGCTGTGCACGCCAGGGGCGACTGCAGGCCCATGCACGTTTGCCAGAGATCCTGCTTCCTGGTCACTTCCCCATCTTTTCGTTGTGGTGTTGACCAGGGGGCCACAACCTATTTATGGTGCTTACGCACCCATGTCTGCCGTGTGACCAGAAGCCACCCGCTGCAGGGGAGTGCACACAGCACAGCTGCCAGAATTGCTCTGGGCGCACGTGGGACGAGGCACTCGTGAGGCTGGCTCTCTAAGCGGATTGCCTTGTCCCTCCAGGCTTGAACTGTTTTTGAGTCAATACAACGCAGGTTTTCAGGGTACATCATTTTCTTTTCCTTTGAAGTGCTTTCATTTCCTTTGAAGTGATCAGTGGAAAATTTATCCTGAATTCCAAAAAGATATTAGCATAATATTGATGCACAGGTTTTTTGTTGTTATTAATTTATTGTCCTGTCTCTCTGAACATAATTGTTCGCTTTTAAAGAGCGCTTTGAGGGGCTGGAGCAGTAGGACAGCGGTAGGGCATTTTCCTTGCGTACAGCTAGCCTGAGTTTGAGCCCCAACATCCCATATTGACTCCTGAGCCCACCAGGAGTGGTCCCTGGACACAGAGCCATACGTAAGCCCTGAGCACTGCTGAGGGTGGCCCCCAAACAACCCCAAAAATTGGGTTCCTTTTGATACAACTTATTTATAGCAACGCACCACACTTAGAATTTTGAACTCAGCAACTAAATATCTGAGCTGGGGAAATAACTCAAAGGCGTGCTTTGCATGATGGAGTCTGGGTTTGATCCCATGAACTACCTGGTTCCCTGAGCACTGAGCCCGGAGCAGTACCACAGGTATGACCCAAAAACAAAACCCAAACTAAATGTATGTAGCTTTGCAGTGGGGGTGGGGGGCACACCCAACAGTGCTCAGGGCTTCTGTCTGTGCTAAGGAATCACTCCTGGTGGGCTAGGGAGACTATGGGTCCCAGGGATCATACCTGGTTCAGCTGCGTGGAAGGAAAGTGCCTTTACCCACCGTGCCTTACATATCTCGTCCAGTACGTGCTAACGTTTCTTTATCCCTTCTGATACACCGTTCAGAGAACTTCTATCTGCAGAAAGCAGCATTTACTGAAATTGCTTTTCAGAGTAATTTATATAGTATCCCTGGTTAGCCTGATACCTATCGGTGAGAACTGTTACATCCCCTCATTTTCTTTTTCCTCTTTGTGCTGGGACTTGAACCGGGGCCTCGCACGTGTGACATATGCACCCAGCCACTGAGCTCTCGCCCCTCTCTCTTCCTCTGGAGAGTGTGTTTTGGGGGAAACACTGCCATGCATTTGGCCTTAAACAGATTGTGGGGGGGCCTGGGATGGTGGTTCACCTTCTGATTGTGTTAGCCGCATAGCATCGGGCCTTCTGGGCTCCTGCTGGTGCTTCGGCATGATGGTGTGGTGTTCCGTGACTACCGGGACTGACTTGGGGGTGCCCAGAGGTCTGTCTGATATCAGGGATCGAACTCAGGACCTCTCAAATGCTTTGGCATGTGTTCTCCTAGAGCCACATTCCCTAGGCTTTAGGAATCATGATTTTCATCTCTTTCGAGCCTACACTTTCTCTGCACATGAATTGGATTCATTGCCCTAAGATGATTTCAGAAGGTTTTCCTGTGGGAGCATTAGCTAAGAATCCGAATCTCTGAGGGTAGATTTCACCTATGTGCTTGGGATTTTTTGTATGTGCTCGAGCAGAATGGAGTGCAGCGGTTGAGTTGGGTTCCTGGAGTCAGAGGACTCTACTATCTGCCTCTTGTTCATTGCTTTGTCTCTAATGCATCCAGCCATCTTGTAGTCAATCTGAATATCTTCACCTGCATTCTGATGCGTCTCATTACTACTGACATTGGCAGATGCTCTATTTCACAGTAAGAAGAAAATTTAGATTTATTGTAACTTCACCAGATTTGCTCCTGGAATTGTGAAGATGTTAGTCATGGTTTTATTGATTCTTTTGGCCCATTTCATAGTGTGCTTGGGTTGGTTCTTGCTGCTATCTCAGGTTGCCCCAAATCTATTCTCTGTCTCTCTGTCTCTGAGGTCATTTTCAGTTTCAGTACTGGTGATCATTTGAAAGGAGCTGAATTTACTTTCTGATGATCCTGAGGGGTCGGAGAAGTGAAATAGTAGGGAAGGTGCTTGCCTTGTATGTGGCCGACCCAGGTTCATTCTCCAGCTTCCCGAGCACTGTCAGGAATGATTCCTGAGTGTTCAGCTAGGAGTAACCCCCGAGCATTGCCAGGTGTGGCCCAAAAGCCTAAAAACAAACCAACAACAGCAAATTGATGTTAAATAAAGTAAAAGTAAAGAGAAGACATTGGAGCAGACCCCAGAGTGGGATAGAAGCTCTTCACTGAATGCCCTACAGTCTGTCTGACTTCTGCTCTGTGATCCTCGAGGTAGTTGTGGAACGTGGGCATTTGGTCCCGGATAGCAGCCGTGGCATTCTTCCTCCTCCGGCCACACTCTGCCTCGGGTTCGAGTTAGTTGATCTTGCCCCCGTTCACTTGGTGTTTGGTCCTGAGCTGCAGTGCTGCGATTTGTAACGAATTCCTTTTTTTAGTAAACAACAGCTTTATTGAGATACACTTCTTAGGCCTTAAAATTCACCCAGTGGAAATGAATAATTCAGTGGTTTTTAATATGTTTCTAGAACTGTGCAGCCATCACCATAATCAGCACTCATTTTTGTCACCTGAAAAGGAAACTCTACAGCATTGGCAGTCCCTCCTCAGCCGATCCTGATTTAATACCGATCTCTGTGAATTCACCTATTCTGGGTACTTCATCGAAATAACTAGAGGGTAGCAGTGTGACAGCCCAAAGGGCACAGGCTTTGCATGTAGGAGGCTTGGCTCTATCCTCTGTGCTCATGGTACCCCTGGCACCACCAGGAATGACCCCCAAGTACTGGGTCAGGAGTAGCCCCTGAACACTGCTGGGTGTGGTTCAAAAAGGGGGGGGGGGCTCAGTTACATACTATGTACCTTTTGTGTCTGACTTTTTTTGGTTTGTATGTTTTCAGGATTCACCCAGTTATACCATTTTAATTGCTAAGGAATAATCTTTTTTTTTATTTTTATTTTTTGCTTTTGGCTTGGGGCCACACCTAGCAGTGTTCACCGGATACTCTTGGCTCTGTGCTCAGGTATTACTCCTGGAGGGGCTCAGGGGACCATATGGGATGCTGAGGTTTGAACCCAGGTTGGCCGCGTGCAAGGCCTCACCCACTGTACTGTTGCTCTGGCCCAAGGAATAATTCATTTTTGAGGTTCTGGGAGAGAGTGCAGAGGGTAGGGTTCAGGCGCATCTGTGCCCTCTCTGGGTTCAATTTCTGGCACTGCATAGTTCACCGAGCATCCTCAGGTATAGACCTAGAGCCCTGCGCAGTGCTGGGTCCTCAGACCTGTGTATTGAACCCTCCCCATGTTACTGAGTGACAATCCCCAGTGAGCCTCTCACTTCCTGCGCCTTCTGAATACCACTCTCCCCCAGCTCGTTGTCCGGATACACTACGTCTTAATCATCCATTCAGCAGTTAGGAGTATTTGTGGTTTTTTTATTCTTCTGAATAATGCTACTTTTAAATATTTGTGTATCAGTACTCCTTTGGATGTATTACTGGGTCATGTGGTAACACTCTTTCACCTTTGGAGAAACTGTCAAACTGTTTCCCGAAGTCAGTGCTTCACTTGGCATTGGTGCTGGCCTGTGTGTTTGCGAGTTCTGTTTCTCTGCCTCCTTGGCAGCATTGACCACTGTTGCCTACCGGTACCATTCTAGTGGGCGTGCAGCGGTTTGGTTTGCATTTTCTTTATTCCTAATGATTCAGGCATCTTTTCAGGTGATTATTCGCCATTAATATATCTTCTCTGGGAAGTATCTGTTAGATCATTTGCTTTGTTTTCTGTTTGTTTGGTTTTTTGGATGTGCTCAGAGCTTATTCCTGGCTCTGTACTGAAGGATCATCCCTGGTGGGCTTTGGAGGACCATTTGCGGTGCCAGGGTCAGTCACGTGCAAGGCAAGATCCTTGACCCTTGTTCTGTCTCTTTGGCCCTCTTTTCCATTAAAAACAACAAAAAAATTTGATTATGGGCCATACGCAGAGGGGCTCAGGGCTCACTCCTGGCAGGCTTGGGGGCCGTACTGGGTGCTGGGATCAAACCAGGTTGGCCACAGGCAGAGCAAGCTACCTAACCACTCTACTACGATCACGTTGGCCCCTCTTTGCCTATTTTAATTTTCATTTACTTTTTTGGCACATATTTTCATTTCATTTCATCATCCTGTTATTCGTCGATTGCCTTGAGCAGGCCCCAGTAACGTCTCTTTCATCCTAGCCCCGAGATTATATTCAAGGCTCTTTAGGAGAATGAGACCCATCATTGTTACTGGTATTTGGCATATTGGGTACGCCACGGGGAGTTTGCCAGACTCTGCCCTGTGGGCAGGCTACATTCGATAGCCTGCAAGTTTGTCCAAAGTAGGACTTTAATATGTGTCCTACTTTGGGCACATATTAAAGTTAGCTTATTTGTCTTTTAACTAATTGAGATGGGGATTTCTTTATATATATTAGATAAGGTCCTTATTAAATGTACATTCTGTTTTTTTTTCTTGATAGTGTAATTTCAAGCACAATATTTTGAAATTTTAGCATAGTTTATCTGTTTTGTTTTTTCTTTTTACTTGTACTTTGGTTGTCTTATCTAAATGTTTTGGTTAGCCCATGGTCACAAAAAATTAAATTTTTTTGGCTTGTATTTTTGTGCCATACCCAGTAATACTCAGGGATTACTCCTGACTCTTCACTCAGGAATTACTCTTGGTGGTACTTGGGGGATCATATTAGGTGCCAGGGGTCAAAACTGGGTTGGCTACTTGAAGGCAAGCACTCACCCACTGTAATATCTTTCTGGCGCTGTAACAAAGATTTAATCCTTAGTTTTCTTTTAAGGTTTTATAGTTTCGGCTCTCACATTGGATCTGTGATGCATTTTGTTTTGAGTTAGTTTTTGTGTATAGTATGAGGGAGGGTGTAGATTGATTTTTCTGCATCTGAATATACAGTTATCTCAGAAGTACTTGTGGAAGTGAATTTTTTTAGGGGGCCGCGGGACTGGGGAATGCGATGTTACACTTAGGACCTCATCTGTGCAAGGCATGTGCTTTTGCTTCTCTGCCTGACAAGGAAAGAAGACACAAAGCTGGGTAATACCTAGTGGATGATTTTCCTGCCCAGAAGTGTATTCTGTGTAGCTGCAATGATATTTTTCTTTTTATCATTAGACAGATTACATCAATGCCAGCTTCATGGATGGTTATAAGCAGAAGAATGCGTACATTGGTACACAAGGTAAGTTAGTCTTGCCCTTTCTAAGTCCATTTTATGTAGTCAACCTGTTTGTACCATATGATATTATAATTTTTTTGTTAGTGGAGGTGGGGTTGGGAGCCACAGTGGCAGTGCTCAGGACTTAATCCTGACTTTGTGCTCAGGAGTTCCTTGTGGTGCTGCTTGGGGGACCATGGGGTGCTTGGGATTGAGTCGGCAACCGCCAAGTACAAGGCAAGGGCTTATGTCAAAGACAAATATAATACCAGGTCTTTGGCACCTAGTGGTACTTAGGGCTTACTCCAGGCTCTGTGCTCAGGTACCACTCCTGGCCTCCCCCCAGGGAGCATCTTGGGTGCTCTGGTCCAAACCGGGTCAGCCACGTGCAAGAAAAGCACCCAACCAGCTGTACTCTTGTACGGGTCCCTGGTATTATAATTTTTAATTAATGAAAATTTTTTTGTTGTGGTGGTGGAGATCAGATCCTGGAGCCCAGACATGGAAAACAAATGCTATACTGCTAAGTTACATTCCTGGTTGGTGAGGGGGGGATAAATATATATATATATATATATATGTATACATATATAAATATATGGGATCACCTTGAGTTACAGAGTACAGAGTTACTCATTAAGTTTCAGGTGTACAATGTTCTAGCACCAGTCCCTTCACCAGTGTCCACTTCCTTCCACCAGTGCCCCCAGTTTCCCTCCTGCCCCTGAGTCTGCCTTCTGTGACAGGTACTTTTCCCCTCCAGTACTGTCCTAGTATTCTCTTCCCTAACCTGCCCCCCCCCCCACCCACCCTAGTGGCACGCTTCCAACTGAAAACCAGTTCTCCTGCCCTTCGTTTCTATTGCCTCTGGACCTTTGTTATTCCTCTACGAAGTTTATGTCCCAAATATGAGAGAGAGGATTCGGTAGTCGTCTCTCTCCCTCTTACTAATTTCACTCAGCTTGGTATTTCCAGGTCCGTCCACATGGCAGCAAATTGCATGGCTTCATCTTGTTTGTTTTGATTTGGTTTTGGGCCACATCCACCTGTGCTCAGGGCTTACTCCTGGCATTGCACTCAGGGATCGCTCCCGGTGGGGATCAGGGAACCACATTGTGTGCCAGGGTTTGAATCTGGTTGGCCGCATGCAAGGCAAGTGTCCTGTCGTCTGTACTGTCTCTCTGACCTCAGACTTTATCTTTTTTTTTTCTTTTTGGGTCACACCCAGCGATGCTCAGGGGTTATTCCTGGCTCTGCACTCTTGAATCACTCCTGGTGGTGCTTGGGATGCTGGGGGTCGAACCCAGGTTGGCCGGGTGCAAGGCGAACACCCTACCCGCTGTGCTATCGCTAAGGCCCAGACTTTTCTTAAGGTAGAATTCCACTGTGCATACATACCATAGCTTCATTATCCAGTCATCTGAGAACATTATTTTTAAAGTTCATAGTAATTTGACCACGAAGGGACTGGAGCGATAGCACAGCGGGTAGGGCGTTTGCCTTGCACGCAGCCAACATGGCCGACCCGAGTTCGATTCCTCCGCCCCTCTCGGAGAGCCCGGCAAGCTACCGAGAGTATTCGATATGCCAGACACAGTAACAACAAAGTCTCCAATGGAGACGTTACCGGGCCCGCTCGAGCATAGTAATTTGAAATGCTTTTGTTACTGGTTACTAACTTTTCATAAATGTTAGAGGTCTTGAGGAAGGCAGATGAAAGGTGTACAGTTCTCTGCCAGATATGCCTGGAAACTCACTGCATAGGATAAGCTGGAGATTTGAACGTAGAACTGTCACTGTCCTCCCGTTGTTCATTGATTTGCTCGAGCGGGCCCAGTAACGTCTCCATTGGAGACTTTGTTGTTACTGTGTCTGGCATATCGAATACGTCACGGGGAGCTTGCCAGGCTCTGCCCCGCGGGCGAGATACTCTCGGTAGCTTGCCGGGCTCTCCGAGAGGGGCAGAGGAATCAAACTCGGGTCGACCATGTTGGCTGCATGCAAGGCAAACGCCCTACCGCTGTGCTATCGCTCCAGCCCGAACATAGAACACTTATGCAAATTTCTAACTGTCTTAGACTTACCCGTAGGAAAATGGGACATCAGAGCTCACTGTCCATTGAAATGCTCTTTATGGAAGGCCAGGAATGGAGCTGAAACTTCTCAAGCACAGAGTCCAGAGGGGTATTGCTTCCTGCGAGGCTTTTGCTGGTTTCTGTACCCTTAGAGCACACTAGTGATGTTCTCCTGGGATGGTGTGTGCCAAGTTCGACATTGAGGCACTGGGCTCTGGGGGGTACAGATGGTTCCTCTAAGTGATCCTTGGGAGGGTTGTAGTGACACGACAGCAGGGAGGGCCTTGCATGTGCCAACTTGGGTTTGATCCATGGCACCCCAGATGCGATCCCCCCCAAAAATAGCCAGCCAACCAATCCAAAATCATTTTCAGCTAGAGAGAGAGCTGAATGTGTCCTTTGCATGCGGGGGACCCAGTCTCAATCCCTGGCATCATATGGCCTCCTGAGCACTAGAAAGAGAGAGCAAGGAAGAAGAGAGGAGAGAAAGGAAACATTATAAAGGTAAATGAATTTTTAGAACTTGCCGTCTTCATCTGGAAGATGAAGGCAATGGGCATCAGAGTCAACTTCTTTCAGCTCCTTGGTTTCCTTCTCAATAGCCTTGCCTCTATAGAACCCCCTCCAAAGTAGACTTTTTTTCATTTTTTATAATTTTATTTGTTGAATCACCGTGAGAGAAGTTACAAAGCTTTAAGGTCTAAGTCTCGGTCATACAATGAAACACCCGCACCTTCACCAGTGCCCATTCTCCACCCCCAACAACCCCAGTATACCCCCATCCCGCACCCTCCCCCTACCTGTGGAGCAGATGATTTCCACATTACTCTCTCTCTACTTTGATCACATTCAGTATTTTGACACCAGACCCACCGTTATTATTTGGGATATTACCCCAACAGTCAGATCTGCTGAAAAGGCAACAGTAGACAATTTGTTTTCTATTGCTGGTTATGAATAACATATGATATTGAGAGACTGCAGTAGTGGCTGCGCAGTTTTGAATTCCGAACTTTTAACAATTAAATCTGGAAGGATTTCTGCCAAAACCTGCTGGGTTCTGAGATTTGTTCCTGAGTCTCTGGGATCATGGCCATTAAGCACCTTGATCAGGAACCAGAGAGGCCGTTCGAGTGCAGTGACTCCGGGTCTTGTTGGGACGGGGTGGAAAGGACTGACTCCACCCCCATCTCGTGAGGCCCTGCGTGTCTCGTCACTGAGGGCCCAAACCTGACTGTCCAATGTCCTCTGGAGGATGGCAGCCACCGAATTGCCAAGGGGGAGCAGGCAGAGGGACAGCACCCTTTCCCCACTGGGGTAGCCCAGCGACAGTAACCTACTGAGTCTCTGGGATCATGGCCGTTAAGCAGCTTGATAAGGAGCCAGAGAGGCCATTCATGGGAGGCGACTTGGGGTCTCATTGGGACAGGGAGGAAAGGGCAGGCTCCACCCCTATCCCGTGAGGCCCCAAGTGTCTCATCATTGTGGGCCCAAACCTGACTGTCCGGTGGCTTCTGGAGGATGGCAGCCACCGGGCCGCCAGGGGGAACAGGCCAAGGCACAAAACCTATTCCCACCTGGGGTGACCCGGCGACAGTAACCTACTGCAGGAGCTGGACGCATTTCTGCCAAAGGCCACTGGGTTCTGTGATTTGTTTCTGAGTCTCTGGGATCATGGCCATTAAGCAGCTTGATCAGGAACCAGAGAGGCCATTTGTGGGTGGCGACTCAGGGTCTCATTGGGATGGGGAGGAAGAGGCCGGCTCCACCCCCAATCCGTGAGGCCCCGCATGTCTCATCACTGTGGGTCCAATCCTGACTGTCCAGTGGCCTCTGGAGGATGGTGGCCCCCGAGCCACTACAGGCGGAGGGACAGTACCCTTTCCCCCCTGGGGTGGCCCAGCAACAGTAACCTACTGTGGGGTCCGGACGCATTTCTGCCAAAAGCCATTGGGTTTCTAGATTTGTTTTTGAGTCTCTGGGATCACGGCCGTTAAGCAGTTCAATCAGGAGCCAGAGAGGCCTTGCCTCCAATTATATAGCTGAGCCGCAGGTGGTTTGTGGGTGTGTCTCCCACATACCTAACTTTTGGCCATTTACTTTCTTGGTAAACTTTGCCCCACGTTTTTGGGGTCTGGCCAAAGGCACAGCAGCAATTTTGGGGTATCTGGAAGTCTGAAGGCGCCGTCAGGCTGCTGATGCACTCGCCTCACGGGTACAGATTGACCTGCTGGTGGCACCAAACCCCCTCAAAGTAGACCTTTGATAGATTGATTCAGCCCCACAGCCAGGCTTGGTGGCACGGCCCCACCCAGCAGTATTTCAGGGTCACTCCTGTGGTTCTTGGGGAAACGTGGTGCTTTGGATGGTGCCTGGGGACTCCTGCATCAGATCATGTGCTCAGCCCTTCGCACTGTCCTGCCCTTACCTCCAACTTCTTAAGGCAGAGAGATCGAAGAATCACAGTGCAAGGAATGTGGAGTAGCTCAGTGATCGGGGATGTAGGCTTTGCATGCACCAGGACCTGGTACCATGTTACCTCCCCAAGCACCACTTGGTGTAGCCCTGGTGGCTCCCAGGTACAGCCAGGTAAGTTCTGGTGAGAGCTTCCTGGAGCTGAATACCAGTTCTTAGCCATCCCTTCCCTCTGGGAGCTTATAAAACACAGGTTATGCATTTCTTATACTTCTCCTAGGATGTTGACCCTGGTGGTCTGAGGACCACCTTGATTAGTGGGGAACAAGCACCTGTAGATGGGAGTTAATAGCTAGGGAAAACACGAGAGCTTAATAAGGCAAGGAGTGCCCCCCAAGATCACAGTCCTTGTCTTCTCTTCATTTCAGGCCCTCTGGAGAATACCTATCACGATTTCTGGCTCATGGTCTGGGAGCAAAAGGTGCTGGTGATCGTCATGACCACCCGGTGAGTGGAGTCCCGTTCTTACCGTGTGTCCTGGTCCTCACCGTCCCTAAGCACAGTGATTCAAGAGACGCGGTTAGCTTATAGAAAGAATGGCGTAGAGTCTGGACATAGTACAGCAGCTAAGGTGCCTGCACTGCCTGCAGCTGCCCTAAGTTTGATCCCCAACACCCTATATGGTCCCCCAAATCCTACTAGGATTGATCCCTGAGTGAAGAGCCAGGAGTAAGCCCTGAGCACAGCCAGGTGTGACCCCCTTAAGAAAGAAGGAAAGGAAGGGGAAGAGAAGATTAGGAAAACAGTTGGCAAGGAGGTTGAGATGTTGGGGCCAGAGCAATAGTGCAGTTGGGAGGGAGTTTGCCTTGCATGCAGCCAACCCGGGTCCGATCCCCAGCATATGTTCCTCTGAGCCCGCCAGGAATGATCACTGAGCACAGAGTCAGGAGTAAGCCCTGAGCACCACTGGATGTGCTCCCCATCCAACTCCAACCCCCCCCCCACCCCCCGCCCAAACAACATCAACAACAACAAAGAGTTGGAGATGCTTTTTCCTTAGCTGGTCCAGAGTCAACACAGTGCGGGGGGTAATGGAAAGTTCAAGATCTAACTTAGCAGAGCTTTTGTTTTTGTTTTTTGTCTCTGAGCTACGCCTGGCAATGCTCAGGGATGACTCTTGGCTCTGCACTTAGGGGTCACACCTCGTGGTGCCTAGGGAACCATCTGGGGTGCCAGGGATCAAACACAGGTTGGCCTCGTGCAGAGCAAGCGGCTTACCCGCTACCCTCTCTCTCTGGCCAAGACAAGGCTTTTATTCCTGTGACCGATAACAGTTCCAGTTAAATTCATCTCAGCCTTGGCCTTGGTCACTGAAAGAAGTACTGGGAAATACGGGCGATTCAGCTTTTTGTTTCTTTTTGGGGCCACATCCGGTGGTGCTTGAGGGCTACCCCTGGCTCTGCTTGAGGGGGCCACTTTTTTTTAACACCATGTGGTAAGGGGATTACAGGGGGTCAGCCAAATGCAGGGCAGGCACGCCTTCACCCTGTACTGTTTCTCAGCTGCAGGCCACAGTTTTGTTTTGGAGTCACAGCTGGCAGTGCTCAGGGCTTTCTCCTGGCTCTGCACTTAGGGATCACTCCTGGAGGGGCTTAGGGGACCACAGGAGGTGCAGGGATTGAATCCCAGTCGGCTGCATGCAAGGCAAGCACCCTACCTGCTCCATTATCTCTCCAGCTGCCTGCAATTCACTTTTTTTAGAAACAGGATTAATATGAGATTCTTTGGTTGAAATTAATTCATGCCGTTTTTTTGTGTGTATTAGCAACAAAGAGGGGGACAGTGATTGGCAGTTTAGTTTGGTCTGGTCCCTGCTTCCAGAGGGCAGCTACCCTGCTTTCTGACTTGCTGGCTCCCCTCGGCACTCTGTCCCCAGTGCCTTGTGACCATTTCCCTCTTGGTGCCTAGTTCCACCTATAGGAGAACTAGAAAAAAAAAAGATGTGAGAGGAGGGCTGGGCGAGAGCCCAGAGGCCTCATTCATGAGCTTTGTATGCTGGGAGCTGGGCCCAGTGCTGGCTACAATGGGCTCCTGAGCACCAAGCTGGGAGCAGCCTCTTGTACCCAGAATGTGGCCCCAAAACGATAAAGAGGAGTGAAAGGTAACAAATCAGGCAAGAAGCTGTCCGTGGGAGTCATATTTTCTAAACGTTGCTTTACATATCTGCTGAGACACCAGGAATTACCTGTTCTATTTGGACCATCATTGTGGTGATGACCATTATCACCTGTTTCAGATAAGGAAGAAATGAATGAGACTCCAGTCCTCAGGAGCTGAAAAGGCCATTCTTTTTTTTTTTTTTTTTTTTGCTTTTTGGGTCACACCCGGCGATGCACAGGGGTCACTCCTGGCTCACGCACTCAGGAATGACTCCTGGTGGTGCTCAGGGGACCATATAGGATGCTGGGAATCGAACCTGGATCGGCCGTGTGCAAGGCAAATGCCCTCCCCGCTGTGCTATCGCTCCAGCCCCAGCCCTGAGAAGGCCATTCTTGACATAGAGATGTAGAAGTTAGTTGTAGAAGTTGTAGAAGTTCTGACTACTTTAGAGTGTTTTGGAAGCACTGAGGATTATTTTGGTTTTTTGTTTGTTTGGCTTTTTGGGTCATACTCAGCGACGTTCAGGGGTTACTCCTGTTTCTGTCCAAAGGAATTACTCCCGGCGGTGCTCCTCCTCGGTGCTCGGAGGACCGTATGGGATTCCAGGGATCGAACCTGGGCTGGTTGCATGCAAGGCGAATCTCCTACCTGTTACGCTATCGCTCCGCCCCGTGCTGTGGGTTTTGAAGTGGACTACAGGCCCTTCCACACACTTGGTGCTGGCCGCCGGGAGGTGTCTTTTCCACTCTTTTTGCTAGTCAGGGACCTTCCCTGGGGTGAATAGTGGCTCAGATACAGAGCAGAGTGTCTGCCCCACCATATTTTTTGGTCATTTTTGACCACCTGGTATTAACCCAGATATATGAGAGTATCTGCGGTATCGGGAAAGAGATCAAAGGTGATCTTGAAGGTGGACTGAATGTTGGCTAAATAAATAGATGCAAACATAGACTGTTGAACACATGCTGTTACATGTGTTTAGAACAAAAGCGAGGGTGCCAGTTAGAAGCAGCTCAAGATACAGCAGCATAGGCCTGGAGGAAGGCGGGAAGGCTGATTTTATTCTGTCTGTCTGCAGCTTTGAAGAGGGCGGCAGGAGAAAGTGTGGCCAGTACTGGCCTTTGGAAAAGGACTCACAGCTGCAGTTTGGCTTCCTAACAGTGACCAACCTGGGCGTGGAGAACATGAACCATTATAAGAAGACAACGCTAGAAATTCACAGCACAGAGGTAAATGTGGATCTCTGTTCTCTCTCGTATTTTTTTAAACTGGGGGAGAAACTTTGTTTTAAAGACAATCTCCGAAGGATATAGGCAGAATTCCAGAAAGCTTCTAAGTTGCTTCCATTTTTTTCTGGGAATAGGTTCAGGATACTTAACTCGGCTATTATCAACTGTATTGTCTCGACACTGTAGCAACATTGCGTAGGAATATAAAGGAAAAGAAATTGGTCAGCCAATCTAGAAACTCTGTTCTCTTCAGGCATTGAACCTTTCCTTTGGGCTTAGAAAGAAGCAACTGTGGGAAAAATTTGAGGGTTGCCGAGGCAGTGTTCTTGGTGGAGGGATACTAGGGGGCCAGCAGCCGGAAGAAGCAGAAGATCGTCAGGGGCAAGCAGAAATGACCTCATTAACTTGTGCTTCTCTTTTCATCCAAGGAGCGGCAGAAACGCCAGGTGACCCACTTTCAGTTTCTGAGCTGGCCAGATTATGGTGTCCCGTCCTCGGCAGCTTCCCTCATTGACTTCCTGCGAGTGGTTAGGAACCAGCAGAGACTGGCCATCAGCACCGTGGGCGCACGATCCAGAGGGCAGAACCCTGAGCCACCCATCGTGGTCCACTGCAGTGCGGGCATTGGCAGGACAGGTAATAGACCTGGCATAGCCTCAGCGGCCGGCACAGTGCAAGTCGGGAGGATTCACAGAGTTTGGGTGGCACTTGGTGAGAATTTCACCCAGTGGTGTGAATCGCCATGAAAAATTCCTCCTTAAGATCCTTTCAATGGGTCTGAAGCGATAGTACAATGGGGAATACATGTGCCTCGCATGCAGCCAAGCCCGGTTCGATCCCCGGCATCCCATATGGTCCCCCAAGCACCGCCAGGAGTAATTCCTGAGTGCAGAGCCAGGAGTAACCCCTGAGCATCACCAGGTGTGACCCAAAAAGCCAAAATATTCATCAAGTACCCATCCCTCCACCAGCACCCGTCCTCCACCACCATGGGTCCCAGTGTTTCGCTAATAAAAAAAATTTTTTAAAAAGTCTTTTTAATGTCCCTAGTACTGAGTGTGCTGGCCAGAGTATGTATTTCAGGACTGGCGCGATGGCTCCAGGGACTGAGTACATGCCCATGCTTCCCTACCACCTCAGGGTCCCTGAAGGACTGCGAGTATCTCTAAGCTTACCCCTGAGTAATGCTGGGTGTAGTCCAGAAAATAAACCTCCACCCCCCCACCTGCAAATATATGTATATTTTTACATAGACACACATTCCGGGGGGGGGGTGAGGCGGGATCACTTCGCTCCTCTGGAAATTTTCCTCTTTTAAGCAAGCAGATATCAAGAGCCTTCCTTCCCCTGGCGCCCCCAGTAGTTGTGCTGGAGGCTACCCCTCCCTCCCGGCCCCCACCATTCAGAGCCGCCTAGGGACTGTGTCACCTAATTTGGGGAGCACTGCTGAAGAGTGGTGCTTTGTGCTGGAGCTTGCGAGCCCCTGGCAGAGGCCCCCTGCCCAGTCCACCCCGAGCCGGACTCTCCACTCTGGAACCCATCAGCAACTTTGGTCTTGAGTGGATGAGCAATACTGGGACTGCTTACCTTTGTTTTATTTTATGTTTTGGTGAGGTGGGAAGGGGTATGCTTGGGGCTCAGGGGCCATTCCTGGCTTGGGCCACTCGCGGTAGAGTTTGGGAGGACCATATGACGCCCATGATTGAACTTGAGGCTCCTGCATGCAGGCCCTACTGTCCAGCTATTATGAACTCCCTCCTACGCCCCCTCCTCTTCCTATGACCCCATATGTGCCATTGTCATCCCTGTGGCCTCCCGCCATTCCCTGTGACTCTTCCTTTAGATTTTTAAGGCCTCAGGTCAGCTGGTTTTCTGCCACGAGGGTCCCTGGCCGTCAGCCTCATCCCTGTTTTCCGATCTGGGGTACTTGGTTTAGAGGGAGGGAGGGAGGAAAGGTGGACCAGGAGTGACCCCCTCTTTCTTCCCTCAGGCACCTTCTGCTCACTGGACATCTGCCTGGCACAGCTGGAGGAGCTCGGCACCCTTAACGTGTTCCGGACGGTGTCCCGCATGAGGACCCAGCGGGCCTTCAGCATCCAGACCCCCGAGCAGTACTATTTTTGCTACAAGGCAATCCTGGAGTTCGCGGAGCGGGAGGGCATGGTCCCCTCCACCCACAGCCTCCTGGCCATGGAGGATCAGTAACTGACCCATGAGCCTCCCACCTGCTGGTCAGCCTTCCTTACACTTCCCTGGACACCGCTGAGCCTGTAGGTTGCCGTTACGTCGAAGCCATGGACCAAGCTCTTCCTGTGTCTCCCGGCGCACGTGTGCACGCGAGGCAGCCTTTCCCTTTGGCTAGAGAGATGTGGTGGAATTGCCACGAGAAAGGGCCAGCAGCAATGTGTTCTGAATTCCTAGCACCTGCTATTGAACTGTGCCTTATTAAAACCAAATTGTGGCTATCAAGTCTTGCCAGGGGCCCCGAGATGCGCGGGGAAGGAGCTTGCCTTCCCCCCTTTCCTGACGCCACTCACTTCCTCACGGTCCCTTTCCTGTTTCCTTCCCTTTTTTAGGATACACTCGGGAGGTTTGTTGCGCACCCACCTTCCTTCCCAGAGAGCTTGACCAAGTTCCATATTCTAGAGGACGTCCTGAGTGCCAAGCACGTTTATACCTAGGACGCGTATTCCAGTCTTTCCTGTCATTCTCTGTGTGTGTCTGTATGTATGTGCACTTCCGTGTATGGGTCCATATGTACGTGTGTATATAATATATATTGTATGTGGTAATATGGTCATACTCTATAAAAACATATACAGAGAGATACTCCTTTGTAGACGTTCCTGGGGCTCCACGTCACAGGCCAGGACTCCGTGCTTCTCAGACCTTCTGTTTGTCCCGGCCTAGCGGGGACTGGGGACCAGGCCTTCTGCTGTCGGACCGCAGTACTGGGCAGCAGCACACAGACCTCTCCCCTCGCGTGCTCCTCCTGACCTGCTGCCCGAGTAGCGACATCTCTCCTTCCAGGGCGCTCCCTTGGAGCCAGGAACACCGGGCTGTGGAGACACGGGTTCCAGTCAGCATGGGCAGCCCTTCTCTAGGGATCCTTCTCTGTTTACTTTGCCAATTCGGGGAACAGACCTCCACTGTGATTCCAGACCCTCCCCCACCCCTCTCCCTCAGGGATTGGGTTAGACACGAACTCACTGACAAGACGGCCAAAAGCAACTGCTACGAAGTTCTTAGGAGGAGAGAGAAGGGAGCGTGGGTGCGAGAGGAGGAGCTAGAATGAGACTCTCTGGGAGAATGAGCTGGGACTCCTTTCTCTGGAGCTGGAAGATTCCTTTCCTATGCAGCGTGGCCCTGTCCACCCAGATGCCTGCTTCTTCCTGCCTGTTGGCTTGCCAGATGCAGGCTCTCAAGCTGGGTGGGTTCTGTCAGGAAAGAGCTTACCCCTGCGTGGGCAAGGTCGTTCCCTGCGGTCACGCTTTGGTCTGCCTCACCCAGCCTGTCCTGTTCACTCCTGACCTCTCCCTTCTGCGGTGCCAGGGAGGGACGCAAGACTCCCCAGCAGTCACGATTCCAAGGAAATCCCAGGAACCTTAAATCTTCCCCCATCACAGATGAGGTTGGCAACTGACCAGACCTCAATAATTTTATACTGTAATGAGCTCTTTGAATGTATATATTCTTATTTTTACGATTTTTTTCATTCTGTATTTAACGTCAATGAACTGAGTCAGAGTCAGAAAATAATTGTAAATGTTCATATTCAGTATCTTACAGCGATACAGTTTTGTATTTACATATAAATATACCGACATGAACAAACCCTTTTAGCTTCATCAATTTAGTAGCAGTCTGGGGAAGGGAAGGTGAGGAGGGTTCCAAGAACTGGTCTGGGAGGGCTTGGGAGGGCTGTGAACTGTTAGGGAGGGACTCGAGCCTCAGTAGCTGAGACTCAAGAGCTGAGAGCCTCTTGCCGTATGTATAGGCCATGGACCTAGCCCAGGGCACAGGGAACCAGTTGAGACCTTGCTGGGTGGCAGCCACTGTGCCAGTCCTCCTTTAATCAAGCTTCACAACAGTCCAGTGAGACATTCACTCCTTCCCTTCTCTTTCTATGTAGATGACAGTCCAGAGGGTTGCAATGATTCGCTCTAGAACTGGAGCTCAAGCTGGTGGTCTTAAAAGCCTTAGCCTCATCACTAAACTGTGTTCCTGATAGCATTCTTAGAGACCAAAGCTGTTGTTTTTCTTTGTTTCTTTCCTTTTTTTTTCTTTTAAGTGTGTGTACGCATAGTATTTTTTTTTTAAGCTCTTTGAAAATACAGTGATTCTTCCAGTCCAGGTAGTTGATCTTTAGCTCATGCTTCATGCAGCCGATTAGAAAGAAGACAGATAACCCAGTTAGATTCTCCTGACGTAGGCCCTCAGATCGCAGAGTACCGTATTGGGGTCCTCCAAGGGAAACGTAATACAGAAGGATGCACTAGTGTTCGAGGGGAGAACTTTCGGTCATTGGCATCTCTCCCTTAGAACAGAGCCAGAGCTTAGTCTTCGCAGGACCGTTTCCCCTGCCACAGTGCTCCCTGTTCCCACTTGAAATCCTGGGGGGGCAGCTGCCCTACAGAGTGGGCAGACACTGGGTGTTTCAATAAACATGATTGCAGCCAACGCGGGACTTAATTCTGTTCCAGGTACTATTCAAAGTGCTTTCTAATTATTCACCCTGAAAACAACCTTTTTTTTTTCTTGAGAACTGATTTATTATTATTATTATTATTATTAATGAATCATCATAAGGTACAGTTACAGGCTTAAAAAGTTTTGTGCTTACATTTCTGTCATACAGTGATCGAGTATCCATCTCTCCTCCAGTGGCCATTCTCCACCACCAATGTTCCCAATATCTCTCCCATCACCCCCATCCCATCCAGCCCCCCACCCCTGTGGCAAGCATATTTCCTTTTACTCTCTCCTTTTGGGTGAAAACCTTTTGAGGTAGGTATTGACAGTAGGAAAAATTGAGGCACAGAGAAATTAATTTGCCACAACCTGGACTATCCCACTTCAAAGTATCTGCTTTCAATTCTTTACAATAGACTGGTTCTTAGACTCTATCCCCTGATGTGCCAATAAAATTTTATTGAGCTTCTTCCCTTAAGTGAGAACTGATGAGCAGAGCAAAAGATTAAGCCAGTTTTTTTCCTGGATGACCCCTACCTTCACCCCATTCTCTTGGAAGCAAACAGTCACAAAGATGAACAGAGATTCTTGAAATTGGGGAAATTGGAGAGGTTAGGGATTTGGTGAACTATGTGGGAAAACAAGATTAATGATATATTTTAAATGTCTGGAGGTGTCTAACTGATTGGAAAAGTCTAATCCAGCTACCGTGTCCATTCAGAAGTTATGTGTGAATTCCTGGTTGTAAGACGACAGATGTAAGTCCTTACACAACTCAATATGTCATAGGGCCAAAGATGTTATCACTTCAGGACTCAATTAAAAATGCAGATGCCTGTGCCCTGCCCAGAAGGTGGTTAAAAAAGAATGAATCAGGTTTGGTAATCACTGGCTTAATTCATAAATTCTTTACTCGGGAATGGCTAGCAAATTGTTATCCCCTAAATCTTAGTGAATCAGAGCAAAGGGATCCGCTATCTTTCCCTCAGTGCAAGTAGCTTTTATCATGGGGAAGATCACTGATAAGTCATGGTGAACCTACCTCTATTAGGTATTTTGTTTTTGTGTTAGGACCACACTGGATTTCTAAATAGTCTAATAGTCTATTTCCTAAAATATGACTAGCTCAGAAAAGAGTCTCCTGAAATGTAAGCTGCCAGCATGAACTACAACTTTAACTGAGGATGAAGAAGAAAGTCAAAGTTGAAAGTTGAGGCTCAGCTTGAGTATGCAGCACAGAAGTTTAACTTCAAGTGCCGGGGTGAGGGTGACCAGGGTTATTTCTAGCTCTTTGCTCAAGGGTGACCCTATTGGTGTTTGGGGACCGCATGAGGTGCCTGGCATTCAAACTGAGTTGGCCACATGCAACACAAGTGCCTATACTAACCCTAATACTGTCTCTCCAGCCAATTAGATGGTAAATGAAGTAAAGAAAGGGAAAGACAGAAACCCTCCAGAATCTGTTCAGAAAGTCAAGGTCCTGAAACAGTTTTGGTGAGGAAATCAAAGAAAATCCATCATCAGGGGCCACTAATAAGGGGGTAAATGCGTACAGGGGTGGAGGTGCTTGTCTTACACGTGGCTGACCCTAATTCAGTTCATGGCACCATACATGGTCCCCTGAGCAACACCAGGAGTAGTCCCTGAGTACCACTGGGTGTCAGCTCAATGCCTACAATCAGATGCTGGGGTGCGCAGTTGGGAATATAAGATAATCCAAAAGTGTTTAGGGGAGAGGGGAGCAAGAGAGAGAGTACAACAGGTAGGGCATTTGCCTTGCACGTAGCTGACCCAAGTTTGATCCCCACCACCCCATTTGGTCTCCTGAGCCCTCCAGGAGGGATCCCTGAGCACAGCGTCAGGAGTAAGCCCTGAGCATCGCCAGGTGCGCCCCTGCCCCCACCTCCCTCCAACAAAATAAAAATTTAGGAGAGAGGCCATCATGGGCTGAGGCAGGTGACTACTGAACTGACGGCTACTTCCGCACCATATTCCCTCTGGCGTTTCCACTGCGCATAATTCAGGCACAGAAAATAGCCCCAGTCCCCTCTGTATTTTTCTATCGTGCCCTTCATTCTGCCCTTGGACAGAAGATTCCTGCGATGAGGGGTGCTCCCACATCCGTAGCCTAAGATGTTCCCACCATCAGCCTCCATGAGGCAAAGTTGCAGGGACATGACAGAATGGAACTGGTACTTAGGAAACTGGAGAACCTAAAGGAGTAGCCTGAGGACTTGGGGATCTGCGTTTTAAGGCTTCCCGTCCCTAAGGACAACCAGAGGTCTTCTTAGGGCAAAGTGTCTGGGACCTGGAGGGAGGTGGGACCAGGTGAAAAGCCCTCCTGTTGTGACCCTGTTGTGACCGACTCTTGGTAGCTTCGATGTCCCTTCGCTCAACCAAACGGAGTTCCGGATTCCTTTTGTGAAAGAAAGGATGTGTCGGATGATCCTGGGACAAACTATGGCTGCGAGTCCAGTTCTTTGTCGCTCGGTGCCAACACCTTGGAACACAAGGACTCCGCTTCTCAAGCTGGGCCAGCTCCTTGCTCACCCAGTTGCAGCTTGATTCCCAGTTTCTCCAGGAGGCTGCCACTTCCCTTTATAGTCCCTCAGCCTCCTTCCCATTCGACCCCCAACATGCAACGCGGGCTTTCATCCCTGCAGTGCTCAAGATCTTCATCTCCACATGCTGCTCTTTGGGGGGGACGGCAGGGTGATTTAGAGCCAGTGAATGGGCTGGCTAAGGCCTTGGACTCTCTAATTGTGGCTGAGACCCAGAGACCACTGCAGGGAGATGAGGGGCTGAAATTACAGCTCCCACTGGCTTGGGAACCAGACTTCTTGGGGGTAGCACTGTAGCACCATGCTCCCATTGTTCATCGATTTGCTCGAGCGGGCACCAGTAACATCTCCATTGTGAGACTTGTTACTGGTTTTGGCATATTGAATATGCCACAGTAGCTTGCCAGGCTCTGCCATGCAGGCAGGATACTCACGGTAGCTGTGATTATCACCATACACTAAGTATGAATATCAAGTACTTAGGACAGCACTACTTTTGTTGACAACAGAGACTGGGGGATGATGGGTCTTCCCTGCAAGTAGAAATCTAGCAAAAATCTGAAAAATCTGCTGCAGTGTTTCATCTCCCTCCACTCATCATGGCTTCTACAAAGCCCTTGCTACTGTTCAGCGTCAACCTGGCATGCTGCAGACTCTAGTACCCGAATGTTTCTGCTTATGGCCAGGTCAGACATTACTAGCTACCAGAATTCCAGATGGATGTTGGGAGCCATGATGCCTTTTTCAACAGCTTAATGTCTTATTTATTTATTATTTTGCTTTTGGGGCCAATGGTACTCAGAAGTAGCCCTTGCTTGGGGGATGGGGGTGGGTTTGCTTCTGGAGTCAGGGTACCATGCTGTGCCAGGGACCGAACACTAACCTCCTACATGCCAAGCATGTGCTCAGCCCTTTGAGCTGTCTCTCTGGCCCTGGAGTATTTGATAGTTGTTAAGACTATAAGTAGGTGAGGGTAGGAAAAAAACATGGAGTGCAGATGATGGTAGTGGGGAAAAAGACACAGCACCCCCACACAGGCTCACTTTCTTCCCCCTCTCTCTGTCAACCTTTTTTTATTTTAAATTTTATTTTGGGGGTCACACTTGACAGATCTCAGGGCTCAGCACCTGGATCTGTGCTCAGGGATCACTTCTGGTAAGGCTCTGGGGGGTCTTTGTGGTACCTGGAGATGAACCCGGGTCAGCTGTGTGCAAGGCAAGCACCCTACTCACGGTACTGTTTCTCTGGCCCGAACCTGACTACTTCTGACTACAGGGCGGTGTATTTGGCTTCAGCCTCAAGACTGGCCAGATTTGCAGCTAAGCCAAGGTCAGCCTGTTTTGATTCCTTTTTTAATTTGGGGGCCACACCTGGTGGTGCTCAGGACTGACTTCTAGCCCTGTGCTCAGGAGTCACTTCTGGTGGGACTCAGGGGACGTATGGGGTGCCAGGAATCCAACCTGGGTTGGCTGTGTGCGTTGTCATCACTCTGGCCTGAAGTCAAGTCTTTTTCGCCTGCGTGGGAGGGATGCGTGGTGGCAGCGGTGGGTGTTGGTTCTGTTTACTTCTTAATAAGTATTC